CTGAACCCTACATGAACTGGAGTGAGGACCAGGGGCACCACCTGGCGGTGGAGCGGTTGGCGGCGCCGGGGCGGTTGCGCGCGGCCATGCCCTCGATGGAGTCCAGCTCGCTGGAGATGGCGTCGGTCACCTGCTCCAGCAGCTCACGCGTGCCCGTGAACACGCTCGTGCCCAGGCCCCGCAGCTTGCTGCCCACCTGCCCACACCCCACTTGCATTTTCAGGGTGTAGGGTTCATTTATTTGTTTAGGGTTCAGGGTTTTACATTATGTATAAACCATCACCCTTAAACCCTACAACATCACTTGCAGACTCAGGCATGAATGTCAGCGTGATCTCTGTGGCATCGCATGCTCGACCTCTCACAGGATGAGGGCTTCTTCCACGACCAATCCCTCCTGAAGCCTGAGTTTCTGCTTCCATGATGTTCCGTGACAATGTAGGGGGAGATGTGTGTCTTGCCAGTCCGGCTCAAAAGCTCATGGGATGTCCGAGCTTGGAGAAGGAACTGTCGAACAGTTTCTGCTGAGTGATTATAAGCAGCAGTGGGAGATGCAGGCAGTCACCTTGCTGAAGTGCTCCTGCACCTGGACAGCATCCAAGCTGCCGCCCACATGCTCGCCGAGGCCTTCCAGGCCGACACCCAGGCTGGCGGGCAGGTGGGCAGTCGCCTCTTTTGGAAAGCGCTCCAGCCCCTTGTGCATCAGCTGGGATGCCTCCGCGGAGTCTTCCGCTACCCCCTTGGAGAAGGACTGCAGCTCTGCCCTCCAATCTGTCTCCTTGACACTGCGCGGCATTGCATTACTCACTTGCTTACTTCCTTACTTGAATGGCACGTGCAATGCCCAAACAGCACCCTGCTAAGGCTGAGTGCTACCTCGCGACGGGACCCGCTGCTACTCTGCTAGGCTGGGATGATCTATTATCGCTGCCACATGTGCAGCACTGTATATCGCCAATCTACCCACCAAGATGACAGCTACATCTGTTCAGGGACAGTGGGAGAAGGGCCATCAGCCAATGCACCTGGTTGCAATGTCGGCAGTGCTTTTCTTGACGTTCTCGGCCAGAGCTGTGGCCATTCCCCAGAAGCTGAAGTTGCCCGCCGGCTTCTCTTGCGATTTGTCCTCCGTCACCCCTGCGTTGGCGTCTGCGCCCTCGTCGTCCGAGTCAACTGCACCCGTCGATGGGCCTTGAAGCATGTCCACGTAGTCAAACATCATGGAGCCTTCCTTCCTGCAGCACACGCTCGAGCTCAAGTGATGTGACTGGGGATCTTGTCATCACAGAGGTGGTGAGTATGTTTTTTCTAGGTTGTGGGAGGTCGCGGAAATACCGTAGCTTGTTTGATCTCAGGAGCCAGCTGTGATTGATGCCAGCAGCTTATCACTGAAAGACTTGAAGTCTGGCAATAGCAAAGCGTCCTTCAAGGCCTGCACGTGAAAAATAAACAAACATTCTTGGCGGCCGACGTAAACAACAAATCAATCATGCATTGGTCATCAAAATCTTGGTCAACCAAAGATGGTGCATATAAGTTCAGGAATGCTACCTTCTCCCTATCAGATGCTGAATCGATGCGCTTGATGAGGTCTTGCAGACGTTCGTCCTTCAGCTGCGCTCTAATGTCTTCGCTACTCGCTGCAAGAAAAGCAGAACCAAAGTCAGCAGTGTCACTTGAGCTGGAAGCGAGCTCAACAGAACCAGTGCATGCGCATAGTATGGAACTTTACCAAGGTTGTAAAGGTCGTCCTGCTTTACCACTGCTTCTGTGACCTCCTCTTCCTTTACAGATGCACCTGCACACCAGCATGGATAAAGCAATGTGAGCTGTCGAATCTAGCGCATGGAAAGTGATAAAAAAGCATAGCAAAGCAGGTCAATATGCTCAAGGTACAACCCAAGGTAGCGGGTGCGGGGCATTAGGCCCCGTCATTTGTCCCCACACCAACGTGAAAACCGGAGCATGATCAACATGAAGCATGTGGACTTGCTAGATCACAAGGAAACTAAACGTTGGACTCACTCTGCGGTAGAAGAGGCTGGGGTGGGGCGTCAGTGACACGAAGAAGGACTTGAACGACAGTTCCTTGTTGCTTTCTAAGAGATCGGATCACACCCCTACCCCTCGTCAGCAGATCTCTATGGTTCTCGTCCTTTGCAACCAAACGTCCAATCAGCTGACCAGTCTTGGTCTGGACCTGGAACTCAGGACTTTCACCTGAGTAGATGATGCAAACCTCTGCCCCTGTATGGAGCTGAGCTGCAGTTTCCTGATGATCAGACAAGTCAGACACTTCGATGTCGAGCTTCGGAGCTGCCATCCAACTTGCACTGTGAGGTGTTTGTGGGGCCAAACATTCTTGGTGCGCCCTTTCCCTTTACCACCTTCTTGGCCTGGGCTGAGCTGGACAACTAGGCTTTAGGTGCTTGATCAAAGGCACATCGTACCGCAACGCACTGTTCGTCTTTGGGCTTCTTTCCAGGGATAAGTTTCCCAAATCTTTCGCAGACCTACAGTATTAGGACACGGCGTGGCTGCGACAGACAACGTCACTTTTTCCTGGAAATCTCAGCTCGCAGAACCTAGTCCACGTGTCTTTGCGTTGTTCATTCGGCATCTTCTCCTTACAAGGTGTTTGATGATCCCTCTTTCGCTTGTGTTTCGAACAAGTGCTTCGCAAGACACGTGCACTGTGAAACAGGCTGTTGGGAAGGTGACTTTGTACTTGATATTTTAAACCGGACAGCCTGGTGGAAAGTTTATAGGTTTTCCTCTCCTCTATATGCAGTGAGATGACACATCTAGCTTGCGCTGGGAGGAGCATCTGGCATTGGAGCAAGCTTTCACAGTGGCCTGAACTGGATGCTTTCACTGCAGCAGGACAGGGACGCACTATGACAGGCCCAGGGCTGAACTTCAACCTGATGGATCAACTGACCTTCTATGGCAGCTACCACACGCGCGGCTGGAACCAAGCCATCCACTTCGTATTTGTGCCTCTCATCCACTGGACTATCACAGTCTGGTTAGCCTACGCGCCCTTGCCCACTTCCTTCGACCTGCCAGCCCACCTGGACTTCCTTCCACCAGCTATCTCCAGGTAACAACCATGTTTACACTACAAACCACTCCAGTCCATCATAATTGACTGGCGTCCCAGGATCTTTTTGTGTCCCCAGAGTCCCAACCAGGTTCCTTGCTGCCTTTGTATTGATTTAAACAAGATTGTTCTTTTGATGCTAGCGGTAACGTTGGTTGGTTGTCAAGTAATATTGAAATGTCAAGCTAACGATAATTTACTGGTCATGCTCGTGCAGCGCTGCGGTGCTGAATTGGGGCCTGCTGGTGCTGATCCTGTACAGCCTCTACTACATGGCTCTGGAGCCATTTGCAGGAGCCACTTGGGGTCTTCTCCTGGGCATTCCCATGTGGCTCACGGCCACTGCCTTTGCACAGTACGTGCCCTATGCCTGGGCCTGGGCCATTGGCCTCCATATCTTGTCCTGGTATCTGCAGGCAAGCCATCTGCTCAGCTCCCAAACTGCTGTGCCCCTGCAGTAATCCTCACCACTTCTTGAGTACCATGGTCATCAAAATTTCTAGCCGAGTCTTGCTGTGCTATTGTGCATGCGTCTGGATTGAAGGAAAGTACGCTTCCATAAGAAATGCGACTGTCCCTGATGCCCCGCCCTGTTGTGTGCATAGGTGGAAGTGGGCCACATCTTGATTGAGCATCGCAAGCCCGCCCTGCTCGACAGCTTCATGCAGGTGTGCAGAACCATATAATTTCATGGGCAAGTCAGTTCAGATGTCTGCTGTTATGCAGCAACCAGCTCATCAGCCACGTGTTGCTTTGCAGAGCCTGGTCTTGGCGGGGCTTTTTGCTTGGATGGAGGGCCTTTTCGCGCTTGGCTACCGGCCCAAGTTGCATGCCGAGCTCATCCGCCGGGTGGAGGAGAATATTGCACGGAACAAGGCAGAGGCGGAGGGCCTGCTGACCGGATGAATCTGTGTCCCTGGGGGATCCCATCCTGGCACCCTTGAGGCTTTGGGCTGAAAATGCTTGAAAGGTCGATCCTCAGTCTTTGTTTGTTGTCATGGGCTGGGACTGTATGTGTTTGTGTCCAAGAAGACTGAGCAGAGCACTCTCTGTACCGTCCTTTCTTTCATGTCGCCGCATCTCATGTACCTGGATGATGATGCGCCTTCTGCTGTCGTGTTATTGTGTAGGGTACCATGTAGAACATGTAGTTTTGATGCAAGTTTTTGTAGCCTTCTGCAAGCACGTTCAGAACTATTGCCTTGAGCTTGGATCAACCCTGCACCGCCTTTTATAGTCATTGTAATTCTGCCTCTAACAACGTCTTTCTTCGTGGTCCGCTCGCAGTGTCTTATGAGGAGTAGAGTCACTTTGTCAATACGGTAATCTGTTTAGTAGACTCTTTTCAGTGGGGTTTAGCAGAGCCCTCATGGATGTCTTCCTCCAACAACATCAGGAGGCTGCGTGCAAACCATTTCCTAATCAAGTTGAGGCTCATTGGTGATATACAGGCGCTTCACGGACCCGGAAGACTTGTTATTGAGTTCGTCCCGAAACTGCCGCTCCTTTTGAGTGATGTTTTCTTGCGCCAGATCGTTCTGATAGTGTTAGACACCTCCCACCCTCCCCACTCATCTCTCCAGACTGTCTGATCTCAAGAGTTACAGATTGCTTCTACATTTCTTGTGCCGCTTGAGGCCACACATCGGAACCTGTCCTGTTCGCACAATACGGGAAAGATCAGTGGAGTGCGCCTTCCCCGAGCGCGTTCATACCTCCGTACGTGGTTAACCTGAGTTTTGTGCCTACGTGACTTTAGATAGGTGACGGTGCGACCGCATCGTTTCTAAATTTTACCTTCGTTGGTGTCCAACAGCAGCTGTCGAAAGCACTTGCAAAGGCGAGCAGCGTGCAAGATCCTTATGTTTCCACAAAAATGGCAATTTGTCACTGCTACGTGAACGTGGCAGAGTGGTCTAATGCGACAGACTCGAAATCTGTTGGGGAAACCCGCGCAGGTTCAAATCCTGCCGTTCACGATCATCGTTTTCTTTTTCTTACCTGTGATTGACAAGCATTCGAGATCTCTAGAGTCATGAAAAGTTTTGTGCAAGGCCTTCGCCAACATTCCCGGGACCTCATGAGCATATGCATGCAGGGCATCTACATCAGCCATGTGCATGACACCTTGTCAAATCCATGCCATTCACAACTGGAGCTCCTTTTACAGAGGCTTGCGGACATCCTTCAACTAAACTAGAGCTTCTTCTCGCATGCCCATCGAAGACATCTTCCAGGTCCAGACCACATATTGAGATATCTCTCGCAACTTGCTGTCCTGCAGGAGGAAATCTGCATCTTCTAAGCCTGTTACACCGCGGGCATCTACATACACTAGTCCCAAAATGCCCCATCTGCTAGCACTACATGGATGCATGACAACAAGGCCTGCATCATTTCAATGTTGTCACAACCGAAAGTTTTCACACCAGGCCTGGGCTCTAGGGCCAAGCGCGCAATCTTCGCCATACTGTCTGCTTCAAGTGAAGTTTTAGTCACACTATTCAATAATACCTGCAATCCCAATTGCAGCAACAGGACACAATGACAGCCTCACGCACTGCAACTTCAAGACAACTCAGCAATGGGCGTCCAGCCAGGGTCAGAGCACCTGGCGCAGGCTTTGAAGGCTTCACCATGCAGTGCAAACTTTCAAGGCCATGTTTCAGTCTGGATATCAATCGTGTGTTGTTTGGGATATTTCCGGGATGCTTTAGGGCGCTCTTGGGACTCATGCTGCGCTCTCATAGAGCTGGCATCCCACAATCAGGTTCCAACTGAGTCCCCAGGCCTCCATTCACACCATCAGTCGCCAAACAGCATGTGCTATTCAGTGCTGCTCATCGCCGGGAATCAGCGCGCATGGCGTCCGAGCGTTGAGGTCCGCTGCTATGTGCGCAATCGGAGTGACCCTGCGACTGCAAAGCCCAGGCCAGACAGTCAAAGCAGGGCAGATGCACGGCTACTAGATGCCGCTGATGTACATAGTGCAACCAAGCACATGCGCTCTGTTCGCTGGAGGACCAATTGTTGCAGCACTTTGAGCACCAAAACAATCAGTTCGAGTCGCGCTCCACAACAAAATGTTCTCCTGGTAGACAGACGAGGCCACCACAATGGAGCACACCTGTAAGGGCACATGCTGCATGCAGCGAGCATTCCCTATTCCAGAAGATCACTTCCAGCAGTGCTATATTTTTAGGGTTCATGGTTGATTACATTTGTTATAACCCTGACCCATAAACCCTATATTATTATACCTCTAAACCCGAAGCCCAAATATTATTTCAAATAAAAAATATAATGTGTACCTGGGAGGATGCGGAGGAGGAGGGGGGCTTTGCGCAGGCGAGGGAGGCGGCGGCGCAGGCCGCGTGCAGGTCGGCCAGCGCGGGTGTGCGCAGCTGCAGCAGCTCCTGAGCGCCCGCTGTCAGACTGTACAGCACCGCCTCCAGCCTGCGCCGCGCTTGATTCTCTCTCAAACAGAGAATATGTATTTATGTTTACAGATAGTCCACACTATCATTTGGACTCCGTCATGGTCTAGACTGGATACACTGTACAGCTGTCAGACCGTAGAGCACCGCACGGCCTGCGCGGCGCTTGTCTCTCTCAGCACATCATCAATATGTGTTTGAACCCTCCTTGTAAAACGCTGGGGGTTTTCACCGGACATGTGTCCAAGACAGGACCCAAAGGAGCCAAGAATGAGTCTGAAACGCTGGGGTTCCAACTGCGCATAATTCCAATAGCAGGGAGAATTCCAACAGGACCCAAAACAGCCAAGAATAACATCTTAGTGACATACAGGTGGCTGAAGGGGCACGTTGCCTTGCCTTGCATGGCATGCATTGCTGGTGTACCAACGCCAGCAATGAGGAAGCCACGAACCTGTCTGCGATGATGGAGGGCGCGAATTGGAGGGCGGTGGCGCGCGCAGCGATGGCGAGTTTCTGGCGCAGCCGATCGTCCACCAGCACTGTCAGCAGCAGCTTGGCCAGGGACTCCACATCCTGCAGCATGAGCGCACAACCACTCAACCACTACTCACAGCACATGTACCATTCCATTCAAAATTCTAGAAGATCACCTAGAGCCTGCAGCAACCCCAAAGCAGCATGGATGCATGGAACAGCTGGCCGAGAACCCAAGATAAAGCATGTCCCGCTTGGGCACCAAAGATGGGCAACTAGCTTGTGCCCTCGCATGCAGTGCGACGACCGAGCCACCTCTGCTGGTGTACGAAACCTCAAAACTCTGGCGCCATGACTTTGTCTCGTGTAAATGCATCTTCTTTGGATCCTTCATGGTAACTTTATCTGTAGACTACGTGAGTTGTAAAGGCCCTCTCCAGGATAACATAGCATGAAAGGATCCTTGAGAAGATATATTTACATGATGATAGATCTGTTCTGGTGCGCACATGGCGGCAGGCCTTGACACACTTTCATTATTCAAGGGCATCATCCTTTGCTGAGACCGCGTCTATAAAGTGGGGGCCCGACCTGGGGGTTGGCGAGGAGGGCATTGACGCCGTGCTGCGCGAAGGTCTGCACACCGAGGCACTTGGTAGCCACGCAGGCAAGCCCGCTGGCCATGCCCTCCAGCACAGGCATGCCCCAAGCCTCGTAGCGCGAGGTAAACAGCAGCGCATCGTGGCCCCTGTACAGCGCCGGCAGCAGCTCCTGCCACAGACAACAATAGGAATGTCTCAAGTGGAGAAAAGGAAAACTGGCCCGAGTGGCAAACGCCGTAGTCAAAGGTGACTAGGGCGTGGCAATAAGGCGAGAGACAAATGGTAACTTGTTGCATTTATTACCCTAACGATCTGCAACGGACCCATGCCAGCTCCCCTGAGGACGCTTGATGGATGGTACAGATAGTCAACAGAGCCAGCACATCTAGTATTTCTTGTCTCCAGTGCAGACGATGCGGAACATAGCAAGATCCATCAACACGACACGGGATATCCAAGGCCAAAGGTATCCAGTGCCAGCGTTGAGAGATCTTGCAGAATCCCAGGAGGCCATCACTGCAGAGAACTGAGAGAAGGAGAGCACATGGGAATGCACTCCTGGGAGGCCAACATGGAGGTTGATGTGCGGGCTGCAGGAGGCCAGTCATCTCACAGAAGTGAAAAATAAACGTAGCGAAATTCCTTGTCAGGTAAGTTCTGACCTGCATGAATGGCGTCACGACTGCCCCGCTGTCCAAACAGAGCAGCTGGAGATATCAGGAATTACAGTATCACTGGTAATATAAAAGCACACCTGGGAAGGCCCGACATGGAGGTTGATGCGCAGGCCGCAGGAGGCGAGCCCCGGGACCATGGAGGGTGTGGGCTGCGTCTGGCAGATCCAGGTCACATTCAGCGGCAGCACGCGGTGCACCATGGCCAGCACAGCAACCGCCACATCGAAGCCCTTCAGCGGCAGCGCTGGGTTGCCCACCAGTAATACTGAGCGCCTGCCCTGCGGTGCAGACGCCCCCTTGTCCTGCAAGCATGGTCACACAGCAGATCAGTCCATGTTCCTCAGGGAAGAGTCCAGCGAGTTTGAAGCGCTGCTGTGGCACACGTGGCCCTGACTTCTTCACCATCACAAAGCAATTTGAGATACGCTTCAGCTTCGGCCCGGCCATGTCCTGGCACGGCCGATTGATGGGCCAGCTTGAGGTCCCACATAAATTTCCAGGCCACTTTCCATGTACATCTTTGAGGGGTTCCAAGGTTTGGGTCCCTGACAAAGTACCGTGTGTTAAATAAGCATGTGCAGAGATATTCAAACCTCTCTTCTTCCTCACATCATGGCAAGGCCCAAACCCGAAGCATCCCATGGATATGCATGGAGTGGTGACTGCAAGTTCACATGGGACAATCTGGGTTTCAGAAGCGTCTGTAGAGCTTCTCAACAAGCTGATCCAGTAATATTACAGCTTGCGCTTGAAGGATGCGCACAGCTCCGCCGGACAATCACCCCACAAGGAGCAAGCAAAGCGTCTGCATCTCAGTGGCGCTTATTTATGTGTGCTAGAAGCCTGGTAACATGATGAAATGCTTGGCGCAACCCTGTATACAACCAACAGGAAGTGCGTATATCCCTGGCAACAACCAATCCTTAGCCGGCCAGGAACACGCCACCTCCTGATGGACCCATAGAGGGAAGCACATGCAAATCATCACAATGGCTTGAGCAATGCAGTATACCTGCACGTGGCCCTTGGACGGGGAGGCGAGGACTGATGTAGGGGGCGCAGCAGCGGGGGGTCCCGGGAAGAACCGGTCGCAGTCGACGCCGTTGGGGATGAGCAGCGAGGAGCGGCCGAATTGGCGCTGCAGGATCGTGCGCACCGCCTCTGACACTGCCGCCAGCGCCACCGGCAGGTGCAGCACCTTGTGGAACAGCTGGTCCTGCCGCTGATAGTTGTGCGCCACCTGAGCAAATGATCACAGCATTTGGACAGCATGTAAGAACTCTTTACCCAAGAGCAGCATGCCAAGCCATGCAGTCACGTATATGGGGTGCAAACATGCTTCAATGCATTCTGTGGTCAAGAGGACATGCGAGTGGCAAACCATGGTACTTCATGCGTGGCAGACATGAATGAAGGGCAGGAAATGGTTGGTTTGCAGGTGCAGAGCTTGCTTTGTTGGCTCAGCTCTACTTTCCAGATGGTCTCATGTTTATTCTGTGAGAGGTTCACAAGAGGTGTTAGTGCATGGGACAGGCATTATAGGCTGATACTCACCTGAAACCTGACTGGATCACCAAAAAGCCACTCATGCCCCTGCTCCCAGTAGAGAATTGGCGCAGGTACGCCCACAAGAAGTTCAGCCACCTGTGCAGAGCCCTTTGTTTTCACCCATGCACTCTACATACATGTGGACAAATAGCATGCCAGCATTCTACATTTGGCTTATTCTACAGTTCTAATGCAAAACATCACTGTTGCCCACTCCAATAACATGCCACAGCATGGC